CCCCAAAACCCCAAAACCCCAAAACCCCAACAACAAAATTTTATATTGAATAATTTTATTTATGAATACGAGTAAGACAAAAGTGGAGATAGATGGTACTTCTTCCCAGGTTCAGATATATAGACTATACAAATACAGGAGGGTTGAATCTAGACTCTCCGACTACTAAACAAGCAATGCTCAGATTGGGGGTCAAGAGAAATGAGTTATTTAAACCTTCTCCAAGTCGAATAGGTAAAATCTCATCTTTTGCTGATTATATATTGTAATTTAGATAAAAAGAAAACCTCCGCAGAAAGGAAAATCATTAATATGCAAGATAAGGGAAAGTTCAAGCTCTGGAGAAAGACAGTTAAAGACATTGCTCAGGAACGAAACACTATCCTTGCATTGAAGTATATAAAGACTTACGAAAGTGATGGCAAATAAGAACTCAGATATCTATAGATACAAGCTTGGGCTGGGCAAGAAGAGAACTGTCGATAATTCAAAACTTAATCTGAATGAAAGCGAGTCTCTTGGAAAAACACCAAATGAGAATTACCAGAATAATAATGAAAGTCCTTCTCATCCTAAAATTATTACTCTCGAAAGAGCAGAGAGTCCAGATTATAGCGAATTATTTCCAAAGATTGGAAGTGACAAATCACCAAAGTTTAGTTCTAAACAGTCTAGAGGAGCTAGCCAGAGCCAGAAAAGGACAGATTTTATCTCTAAGAAGCATCAGGCTTATTCGATACTTAAACTAAAGGATATGAAGAAGTCGTCAAAATCAAGTCGTAATCTTCCAAAATCTAGAGTGGAAAAGTACTTAAGACACCCTCTTACCAACTTCGATCATATTGATGATGAAATTGTAAATAAAGGGATATTCGACCTAAAAAGTTCTAAAGCAAGGTAAGTTATTTTATAACTATCTTTAGCCAAATTGCATCTCTCCCATACACAAGTTTCTGTGACCTGAGAAGTAACAGCACCCTTCGGACAGTCTCTGAAGGAGGTGGGTCTAAAATATCCCGTAAGAGGGATCTTGAGATTCAAAAGTACTGCATCTCTGAGCTAAACAGACAAAATCAGTTAAAAGAGAAAGCCAATTTTGACAAAAGACTCAAATATCATAAAGAGCACACTGAAAGACTCAGGAAGATAAAAATTGATCTCCAAAAGAAGAAGAGGCAGAAAGCATCTGAAAATGTGAAGAAAATGAATCATGAAATTGATAAATAAACTAAATAAGGGCTACAAAGACCGCATGAAGGAAATCCTTAACCAAAAAATCGTACTGTATCATAACTATCTCCTATAGATACAACCTGATGGTCGGGAAAAATGGATTAAGGACCAGATTGCTCTTCAGAGGAAGCAGAGGAACCTAAAAGAGAAAGAAGAAAAGGAAATTCAAGATTGTTTCAGAAAGTTACAGAAATTACAAAATCGTCAAAAATAATGCAGAAATGAGGTACAGAAATAACCTGTCTAGTAAGACCTATGGAGGCAAGGATGATTATTACCAAACCCAGCTCAGAAGGCTAGAGCTGACAAAGAAAGAAGAACAAGAGAAAAAGCTCAAGTTATTTCAATATATGTCGAAGGAAAATAAGCACAAAGAATGCTACGATGATCTCCAAAGACGCAAAAAGTGGAACCAGAATAAAAAGAACGAAAGAAGAGAGCAAAAATTCAAGAATGTTGAGAGGAATCTTGACCTCCAGAACCAGCAGAGGCAAAAGAGTGTTCATAAACTCAGGAAAAAGCTTCTTCAGGGATCAAATTCAGCTGTTATCGACCTGGAAAGCCAGGAACTCAAGAGAGCAAGAGAAGAGATGAAGATCGAGAATGTTAGGATTAACCAAGAAAGAGCCAAAAGACAGCTGGAGTACAAGAAATACAAAGTCATTGTTAAACATGTTAATGGCATAAGGAATAAAATTAAAAAGAAAATAGACCAAGATTTTGAAATCCAGAAAAAAAGTTATGATGCCTATCAAGAAAATTTAAAGATGATTAAGGCTCAGCAAAAGTTAGATAAGATAGTCAAGAAAGGCCAGATTAATTCTAAATCTATGAAGAAATTGATCAGCAAAGCTGATGTTCAAGGCAAAGTTATCAAGAGGAAGCATCTTCAAGAGGATGAAGGTGAAGGAGAAGAGTATTAGCCTAATATATTCAATTAAATCCTGTGTGTAAGGGGTTTTGGGGTTTTGGGGTTTTGGGGTTTTGGGG